ATGCTTTTTTAGTTTTAGTGATTAAATTTATACAGTAATTTCCTATTTTATTACATATTTATATACGATATAATGTATATAAAATATATGTATTTTTCCATTATATAGATATGTGTACAGATATAAAAGGTAAGATAAAGTCCTTGTCTTTCAGTAGTTGCATGCTTCAGGCACAGGTGTTATGTTTCATTTTAAGTACTCTCAATTAAAAGCACTGCATTCTGAAACAAACCTATGAAATTACTTTTTAATCCTTTTAAAAATTGGTTGATAACCTTATCTTTTAAGTCATAGAACTTTGATTTTTCTATTTCCATTGGTTCTATTCTGTTTTTTCTTGCTTATTATAAATATATGACTTTCATATAAATTAAAATAGGGACCAGGATTTTGGGAACCCTGGGTGGAAACACTCAAATCAGCTCCTCCTATACCTCAAGATACGATGTTTAATGAAATAATTGTACCAACTCTGGATACTGTTCGATACATGGCATTGATGGAATTGTTGACAGTGCATCAAAAACCTTCTATATTTGTGGGGCCAACAGGAACTGGGAAAAGTACCTATATTACTGTAAGTACTTTCAATACTGACATTAGACATAGTTATAAAAGGGATAAGATGAGGAATCATTTGATAACTTTTTTTTTAAATGGAAAACGAGACATTAATTGTTGGATATTATGAAATGAAATTACGGGCAACTAAAAATGCAGTTGTGTAGCGAAAGGTAGTGGGTTTGGGATTTTGTTTCTTGTTTTCTTTGCACTTCCAGACAAAATTCTTAAGAAGCACCCAGATATCCACTGGAATAAGCGGCTAATAGAATCCAAACAGGACTATTCAGTTTGGTTCCTGTATTGATTTACGTTGCGTTGTGATTATAGATATACTTGGGATAGTCCACACAGACACTGATGCACAAAAGACTAAACCAATTAATAAGACATCCAGTCAGGATTGCTCAAAGCAACAAGAAAAGAAATGCATATGTCCTAGAGTTAGAAGCATCAAAAATGTGTGCTGCTGTTATTGTGGAAAAGTTTAGTAGATAAACTTTTCTAGTCAGATGCTACTATGGCAATTCCATGCACTGGAAAACAGGGAAGAACAATAATTTTGTTACTGAAAGAAATATGAAGGCAAAAAATTAATAGCAGTATAACCAAAGAATTATTTATAGAAAAAGGCTATAGTGGGAAAGGGAATTAGCTAGTCAAGATCTTCCCAGGCAGTTTTCTTTAGATAACCAGTTAGCTATATCTGGTCATTACAATGAAAAGCAGCTGCCCATTTCAAGAGAAATAAATTTTAAATCAAAACAATTGTGTGTCCTGTTTTATAGAATGCCAAATATTCTTTACCTGTCTTATCCTTGTCTTTGAGAGAAAATTAAAAAGAAGCACAAATAATAATGATAATCTAATTTGACTTTAGCTTTTGGCGGTACACAATTTCTGTTATTTCTGAAACAAAATCTTGGCAAAATACTAATACTTGATCTAGTTTTAGGATTTTAGTATTCTAAAATCCTAAAGGATATAATCTTCCTGTAGAAAGGAAAAAAAGGATAGTTTTTTTAGAATATAAAGAGTTAATCGTTTCAACATGAGTCTTTCATTTTCTAGGAAGTAGCAATGTCAACAATTGTTTAATATTTAAAGAAGTTATGTTATACATTGGTATCTCAAATCAGCCATCTTATCTAGACTAATGTTATATTGCATGTTTCTATATTTGACACACACAATACATTAAAAAAGACTATTAAGGTAGTAAAATAGAGAGTTCAGAAGCTAATAAGTTCTACCTTATACAATATATTTGACATCTCTTGTGCATTCCTTATGATATACTCTGGAATTGCATGGTCATACACTTTTTCCCCCCCTGTAGGATTCGATTCTTAACGCTATGGATATTAGTCTATTTACATTTTTTTTTAAAAGAAAAAAAGACTGTTTTATGTAGAACCTCTGCTACACTTGCAGAGCTTCAAAAACTTGCAGTAAATTCAGGAAAACCAGCAGCTTTGGGGGATGGATTCTGTCCCTGTCAGTGACAGAAGTCCTCTGTAACAGTAGACAAGTCACCTAAGTCAAACTTTTCACAGGCAATTATTGTGTTCCTCATTTTCAGGAGGGCTGATTTGAATCCATGGATTCTGATTTGCAGAAGTGCTGTTCTTAAAAAATCAAGTTGTTGTTATCTGAAGTTAGATATCTAACTGGATAATATTTTGCCCATTACCTTTCCATATCTTTGTACTGGTGTGTACCATAGAAAAGCTTGTTGGAAAATTATTAATTTTGTCTTTGAATATGATTTGAATTCTGTTCAATAAATAAGATGAGCACTGAAGAGAAAACAAGTCATTGACAGCTGTTTTAAGTTAGTGGTGTGTGTTTTTATATTGAAAGAGGCAAGATATACTTAGTTCTGAGTGTGCCTAATGATAGTCAAAACATATGATAGTAAGTAATAAAAACATTTAATGTAAGTAATGACTTAGTACAGCCAAATGCAATATATTTCTTAGAGCTTGTGAAATTCTAATCAAAGGGAATAATAGTATGAAAAACATTGTAACTTCAGGTATTAGAATAAGAGATCAAGACTAATGTTTGGGGTTTTTTTTCTTCCTCCCATGTCTACAAATACTATTTTTTCTGTCTAAAGGGATAAGTCAGACATTATAATTGAAAGCAGACTTTATTATCTTTTTGAAATTATTGAGTCATCATTATTTTGGGATAGAGTATTTCCTTTTTTTATCTTCAGTTACCAAGTGATGCTTTGTTCATTTTAATTTTGTCATGTGGTTATTAAAATAACAATATGGGTAATATAGAAAATTATTCTAATGGTCTTGATTAAAAATTTTAGAGAAATTTTAATTATTCAGGCAGATCTGACGGATACTGTGGATTAAATCCTGATACCATCAATCTTTTTGGGAGACTATTAAAGCCTGACAGGCAATGGAACTGTGCCAATAGAATGTTCATGTTGTTGAGGTTCACTTACGGAAATTTCCAAATTCAGCATTTTTCACTGGGTTCCATCTAGATCTGTGGGAAAGTATACTTTTGAGGCAAAAAGGGGATATGTGAGTGGAGATATGGCAAAGCCTTTATTGCATTTTTAACTGATGACATTCTCTAAATAAATCATAAGAGACAAGGAAGAAGCTGTTCCTCTGAGCAGCACAAAATTTATTTGTTCTTTTTTCCACTAGTATGTCTTTTTGTAGAGGATTTTGCCTCTGTTGATTGCTCCAGTGCAATCATCATTGAAGCCTGTGTAAACTCCATTGTTTTGCAGAAGGAGCAAAACTTGAAAGTTATGTAAGCAGATAAAATAAATTTGGCTTCATGGTCTTGAATCTGTTATCTTTCCTTCCTTTTGTGTGATAAAAATTAACTGTGAAGTTACTGACTAAGGATTATTTTGGTTTTAAGTTAGTTTTCTGAAAAAATTTTGAAGAAAATAAATATTAAGAAAATAAATTCTAAGACTGGAAGGAGATCTGTTCATAAAAGACTGTTCCTGGAACATTGATGTCAGAAATATAATAAAGCATAAATAAAACATTTGTTTATAAAGAAGAATATGACTAGTTTCTACTGCCCAGTTCATTTCTGGGGTGAGAGTTAGGAATGTGGTATTTCTTGGGAGTTCAGAACTGATCAAAAGAATAAAAGAAATATGGCCATTGAGTCACATTGCTCTATAGTTTCCATGAGTTGTCATTGTTATATTTTTGTGCAGGAGCTCAGATTTTTCCTTCAAGGATAGAGATTAAACATTTTTTTGCTGAAAAGACTATATGGTCTGGAAAGTCCCAACAGCTGTTGGCAGAGATTAGATTAGTCATTAGAGACATTACTTTATATGCAATAATGTTCTGTAGCAACTGCTGGAAGGATGGAAGAGTATTTTCCCTCTGTGGTTTTACTCACATGTGGGTAAGAAATGAGTCCCATTCAGTCTTATTTGAAATGCTGACTTTGATCCAGATTTCCCCCGGAGATTAAATTGCAGCTAACGTAAGGGACTTTGGAAGGTAGTTACCATTATAAAATACTACCAATCTTGATGGTAAAGCTTATCTTTAGATATTCTTGCTATGCCCTTCAAAGGAAATATTCCTGGAAACTCTTCAAAACTAGGCATAAATATTTGGTCCCGTAGATACTTTTGCAAATTTGTACAGGCAATATATATCAACTCTAATTAGTACTATGAAGTATTTTGTGTGCAAAATATTAACATGCTGAATTTATATAATACAATAGGTAGATTTTTTTTGAGAAAATGTGAAAATTTCTATATTGGAGGTAGAAATATTTCTCTCAAATTAAGTTTATTATGTTTTGAATTATTCAAGAATATTGGTTTATCTGATGAAATATGATTATTAGAGTTCTCTTAGAGATAAATTACTACTTTATAATTTTAAATGAAATAAAAATGGCACAAAAATGTCTATCTGATTGCTATTTGCTAAAGTGTTATAAAATTTGTTTATCTATGTATATAGTTTAACTTTCTCCTTTTCACAATCCTTCCAGAATTTTCTTTTAAATAATTTGAATAAAGAAGTCTACCAGCCACTGCTCATTAACTTTTCAGCACAAACTACAGCAGCTCAGACTCAGAATATTATAATGTCCAAGCTGGACAAAAGGAGAAGAGGAATTTTTGGACCTCCTCTTGGGAAAAGAATGGTAACTGATACATTTCTGTATGTAAATAAGTGTTTAAGTGCAAACAAATACGTAAATGCATTATTTTCTCAACTGATCACATCTGATATCAAGAAAGGATGCTCAATTTGAAACAAACTGTCAGAGTTCTAATTCCTCTAATTTAGATCCTCATGTTTCTCTTCTTTCTCCCTTCTCCCAGTAATATGCATCCTGTTTTAATCAACAGAAGAAAATGTGATATATGATGTGAATAACTATGAACAGCATTGTCATACTTTTCCCTCCATATTTTGTGATACTATCATTGAGATAAGAGTTCTGTATGGCTAAGCTTGTTGCTGACGACATAGCTCTTGACAGTATTGTGGTTTCAGAGTTTTATAGAAATCTCGAAGTGAGATCATGTAGGGTTTGTCACTTGTTCAAGGCCTGGGTCTCGTATGTTGTGGAGAAATTACAGAAGCTTGTTCAGCTCTTAGATTATTACCTCTTGTTGTTCATCTACATGAGCATCGGTGAACTGTGAAGAGAGATGTGGAATATATCAAAAGGGATTACAGACCTCTGGGGGCAAAGGAAAAGGACGTAGGAACCAAGGTGGTATTCTTCTTGATCCTTTACATAAAGGGAAAAGATAAGGTAGGAGTGGATGCAGACTGCCAGTCCAAGGGAAGTGATTACTCCTTTTTACTGAGTCCTTATTAAAATGGAATACTGTGTTAAGTTTTGGACCCTCCAGTACAGGAAGAATTTTGATAATTCAGGCAGATTAAATCACTAGTGGTGTATCCCAGGGGTTGATACTGGGGCCAATACTGTTTAACCTCTTCATTAAGGATTTGTATGCTGGGACAGAGTGCACCTTCAGCAAGTTCGTACAAAACTGGAAGGAGTGGCTGATACACCAGATGGTTGTGCTGGAGGCGATACTTTTGCTCTACTCGGCACTGGTGAAGCCACATCTCGAGTGCTTTGGACAGTTCTGGGCCTCCCCAGTACAAGAAAGACATAGACTTAGTGGAGTGAGTCCAGTGCAGGGCCACAAAGATGATTAAGAGACTGGAGCATCTTTCATATGAGGAGAGGCTGAGAGAGCTGGGACTGTTCAGCCTGGAGAAGATAAAGTGGCTCAGCAGGGATCTTATCAATGTGTATAAATACCTGATCAGAGAGGATGAAGAAGAGGGAGCAGACTGTTCTCTGTAGTGCCCACTGACATGTCAAGAGGCAATGGGAACAAATTGAAACACGTAAGATTCCATCTGAACACAAGAAAACGCTTTTTTATTGTGAGGTTGGTCAACAATGGAACAAGTTGCACTCAGAGGTTGTAGAGTCTCCATCCGTGGAGATAATCAAAACCTCACTGAACATGGTCTTTGACAGCCTGCTGTAGCTGACCTTGCTCAGGTAGGAGGGTTGGACTAGGTGATCTCAAGAGGTCTCTTCCAACCTAAACAATTATGTGAAATTGAGCAGAGGGCCACCAACATCACCAGGGGACTGGAACACAAGCCCTGTGAGGATAAACAGAGGGAACTTGGCTTGTTCAACCCAGAGAAGAGAAGGCTTTAGGAGGACCAAAAGCAGCTTCCCAGTACCTATGAAAAAGTTGTTAAGAAGATGAAGTCATGCTCTTCTTGGGGTGCATAACAGGAGAGCAAATGGTTGTAAATAGAAACAAGGGAGGTTCTGACTGGATATGAGGAAAAAGCAATTTGCTATGAGGGTAATTAAGCAGAGGAAACCAGCCCAGAGAGGCTATGGCATCTCTATCTGTGAAGGTTTTCAAGACCTGACTAGATAAAGTCCTCAGGAAGCTGGTATGAAATCAGTGTTGAGAAATCAGCTTTGAGCATGAGGTTGGACTAGATGAACTCCAGGGTTCCTTCCAACCTGGATAGTTCACTTGTTTTGGAAGCATTAAAGGAGATTTGAATCTTTTATGTTGTTATCACCAATGCCTGCCAAACCCTTCAAGATCAACGGAGCTCCAACTTGAATCAATGGCTCAATCAACTCTCTTCTGAGTACTCAGAAGCTTGAGAAGGATATTAGGGTAGACTTCTTTTTCTTTTTTTCTGCAGCAAGCAAATCCTTTTGCAAGGAGTTGCAATGAGACTGAAAAATGAAATCTAAGGAGTGTCCATTACCTCTGTTTTTTTTAAACCCAGATTAAGGAAAAATTTAGCTTTTAAGGAAAATTTAAAAATTATTATGTTTTAAAATGCAGTGATAGATGTGTATGATGCAATACTGGTAGTTTTAGGGTGCTTATAGACTTTTTGTATTTGCAGCCTTGGTTTTTTCTTATTTTCAGTATTTCCTAGCTATTATTTAATAAATGCTTGTTATCGAGAGCAAAATGTGTTAATGTTAGGAGTTCCTTAAGGAAGTACCATTTAAAGTTAGTGTTTTAAGGTCTTCCCCTGCCTCCCCCTCCAAGCTATTCTTTTAAGATGTATTTTAGCCCAGTCTTAAAAATGTAGAGATACTTTGAAGGGATAAATTTTGTCTTGATTTGTATTAGTCAAGAACATTTCAGTATGTTGCCCAAATTGCAGTGCTAAATAAGATACAAGGCTCATGATTTAACCTATCTTTCTTTTGACCAAATTTCTACTCTGTAACAGTTAGAGAATGAGAAGAAAAGGGGATAAAATGCATAAATGCGTTTCTAGAACTTGCATCAATTGCATTAGGTTAGTTGTGTGAAGATGTTTCCTGATCAGCAGTGGCCTATACTTCAGGAACAGCAGGGCCAAGAAAGATGTCTAATAGATTTAAAACCAGAACCATAGTCTCACTGAAGTTTGAGATTTTTGTGGGTCTTCATGACTCCATCTTTTTTTCCAAGAAAAGCCATGTAAGTAGCACAGTCAGGTTTAAATAGCAAGTATTAGTTTACCATCTTTCATTAAATACACTCAGAAATAAGACGAGAAGCACAGTTTTTCTCTTCTCTATAGGTATGTTTTGTAATGGCTTTAGAAAGGCACAAATACTTCTCAGGTTTAGATTTTTGTTTAACTCAGCAGCAACTCCATTAAGAGCTTACGGCCGCTTTTTAAAAGCATGTATTTATGTGTATTACTCCCACTAATTTTAATGGGAGTGAATTGATGTGCAGTGTTTCCAGAATCAAGCAAAATGGTGGCATATATTCAATAAAATAAATAAATGCAAAATCCTTTATGTTTTTCTTTTCAGGTTGTATTTGTAGATGATGTTAATATGCCAGCACGAGAGGTCTATGGTGCTCAACCGCCTGTTGAATTATTACGGCAGTGGTTAGATCACTGGAATTGGTATGACCTTAAAGACTGCTCAATGATTAAACTTGTAGATGTTCAGATTGTGTGTGCAATGGGACCATCAGGTAAGAGATGGGTCTTATATGCTTTTTTCTGTTTCTTTGGTTTCCAAAGGCTGAATGCTTATTGATGCATAGTTTTACAATTTGGGTCTTTATGGCTAGGGGTAGGACTCAAGAAACCCTTTGCTGCAGGAAACATGAACAGCAGTCATAGCAGAGTGGCTGAGGAGCAGCAGAGAGACTATACAAGCCTGCCAGGAAGCAATATTGCTTTTCAGGAAGACAAGAATGTGTCTACAAGTATTTATGAAATCCCTTTGGTCTAATGAGACCCTCCATTGGCCTTCAGTCAATTTTATTCTTCTTCAAAACTTTTCTAAATAGCACTAAGTGATGTTCTTAAGCACATAAACCTTCCTTTATTTGGCCAAAAAAAGTAAAGCATATGATGTAAAGAGGTCATTATATTTCTGATAACCTGCATACACATTGACTATATAAGCTATTTAGTTAAAAAAAGTAAGTCATATTTTATCAGTTAAAATGAGGAATTAATGTTTCTTTGATGCTGTTGTGTTTGCTTCTAAAGAATCTATACAATCTATTTCCTAGGAATCATGTAACAGAATTTCTTTTCACAGAATTGTTCACAGCGTTGTCTCTAATATACCACCGAACCAGTTTGTCATAGCTGAGTACATTTAGAGTGTTCAATCAGGCTGTGACTGGCGTTTTCCTTCTCTTTTCTGCTTCAGCCTCCCTGGACTTTCCTTCTTGTTTTTGTAGAGTTGTTTACACACAAAAACACACACACAAACATGCCAGTGAACCTTCTCCGCTGATACTACTTTTGCATTTGGGACAGTGATGCATGCCCGTGGGAATAGGGGTCCACTGCTGTTTCACCTATCTGGTTTCCTAAAGAAGCAAAACTGCTTCTTGCAGTCATTTTAAATTGGAGGCAGTGTTCATTCACAGTTCAAAGCACTGATCTAAGTATCAGTCTGTGGAATGACTAAGAAGAAGGAAACTAAAAGAATTTAAAAATTTTACATCTTCATTTTTCCTAAAGCTTAGGTGAAGTCATGACTTGTACTGTGTTCTGGCATAACTTAATTTTACAGGGTTTTTTTTGTTGTTTTGTTTTGTTTTTTAGAAATAGCCAAATCCTGGAGGTGCATTTTCTGTGAAGCATCCCTTCATGCTATGTTTCTGTTCCAGGGTGATAGTGTAGAAGTAACTTTCAACTGCTCTGAAATTGGGTCAAATTTTCCTTTCCCAGGAGAAGTTTGTAGCCAATTTTGTTCCAGTACTCTTCTGGTTGAATGTTGAAAAATGGACTGATCAAATGTACAAGTTATGGCCCTAATTATTTGTGTCAAACATCACAACTGAGCTTCAGAATGAAGAATTTATATTACTATCTTTGTAGAGGGAGCTACTTCCAGAACTCATATTCTCCTTTTCAGCCTGCGTTTATTTTTTTTTCCTCCTAATAAGAAATGAAAATGTGAAATCTGTACGTGTATATAGTGCTATTGAAGCAAATATAAAGCTATTTAAAGAACATTTAAAGACACTTTGTTAAAGTTAGGTTTAAAATTTATATTAGGAAAGGATTATCTTTTGGGTAAAAATAATATTTATATCCCAATAGCTTGTGTAATTTTGCCATCAATGCACATGTAAGCATTGTAAACTGTTGTGTCTGAGAGATGACCTTAGTTGGGGTAGAAGGAAGTAGGATGAATAACTGGCCTATTTAGCATAAAATACTGAGATTCCTCAGCAGATACTAGTAATGCATACACTGTTAAATACAGGCAATCACTAGTTCTGCTTGCAGTCTCAAGTGGCTGAATGTGAGACAGCTCCAGGCCAGGAGTCTTTTAGTTTCATTAGTGCAGGGTCCTGCCTGAGCTACAAAGTCACGTGTTTTAAAAAAACTTACCATACTAATTTGGTTGTCCTTAGCTATGCTTCTGGTGTTAGGGATGGTAGATTCCCCACTTTTTTCTGATTTGCTGCTGTAAGAAGGTTGAACACACCGTGCAGCAGCTTAACCCTGAATTCCAAACAGAAGGAGCAAGTATCCAATAAATTTCAGTTTTACGTCCCCTTATTTCCATACATAGCTTCATTGCCCAAATCACAATCTAGTCATAAAAACTACTAACTCTAGAACTGGGATAAAATTTAAATTGAATGAAGTATACAGCATTACTTGTAGAGGCTTCTTTCATTGGGATGCTTTGAAAATCAAGAACATAGGTTTGGAGTTTATAATAAAAGTTTTCTTTTATAACAGAAGCATAGGTAAAATAGTGTCAGATCTATCTATCTGTAACCTGATGATTTCGATCTGTATTTTACACAGGAGAAGAGATTTACACTGAACTGCATGTTGCTTTCATTAGGTTTATGACAAGGTGTGGTACTTTTCAATGTGAGCCTGCTAGGTGAATCAAAGATGAATATTAGAAAAAACTTGCTAGGCTTTTACTGTTTTATTTTAAATTTTTCTGTTAGTTGTAGTATTAATGCTTTCTAATATTTAGGCGGTGGTCGAAACCCAGTAACACCACGATTCTTGCGACACTTCAATACAGTTACTATTAATGAGTTTGATGACGAATCCATGTACACAATTTTTTCTAGAATCTTAGACTGGCATCTAACAGTATGGTAAGTGACCTTTATGTATTGGAAAAATCAAAGTCGGTGTTTAAATTATGGTACTAGGAAATCTCCAAGATATGTTTGTAGGACACTGCTCTTGAAAAGAAATTATAATCTTTTATATCCTGTGCCTTTTGAGTTACTCATCACTCTACAGAAGTAGGGCTCATCTTAAAATAATCCAATGGTAAAGTTCTTGTTCTGAAGTCTCCAACAGAGGTTTAGATTAGCTGAGGCTAATTCAGTTAGGTGAGATATTTCTGTATTACAGTATTCTTTGATGTGTAATAAATAAAAATAGAATTCGGTTAGTCATTATTCAAAGAATAGAACTGGAAACTGCTCTTAAATTCCCTGTGGTTTGAGAAGGCTTACTTTCTTTGGCCTTTCACCACTGCATAATTTTTAATTCCATTATTAGGAGTGGACTTCAACTTTCATTGTCTATCCATTCTGACAGCTAAGCCCCAAAAGATGCTCGTATCCTGTTTCTAGACCAAGTTTGTGATTTGACAGCTTCTAACCCTTTGAGGGAGAGAGAGGTCCCAGAAGACAGCAAGGGCTATTTGACCTGACTTCCCTGTTGCTGTTGTTAGTCATAAAAATGAGGGGGGGAAAGGGTATAATTAGCTGTCTAACATAGCCAAATTTGTCAGCATGTTCCACAATTGCTAGATTGATTTGCAGAGTTAATCTGTTAATCCAGCGAGAGAACTAAGATTTGTAAAACTGCCTGTGAGGAAGTATAATCACAGAACTTAAAAATTGGCATGAACTTACAAGTAAATCAGTGTACATACACAATATTATTTATTAATTCACATGCTAGTATGATGGAATTATGAAAATCATTCTGTTCTTACCACCTTTTATAACTTGCCAGTTATAGCTTTCCATCACAATATGTGGAACTGACTCCGCAAATTATTAATGGAACCATGCATATGTATAAAGAAGCTATGAAGAATCTGCTTCCTACCCCAGCCAAATCTCACTATTTGTTCAATCTCCGTGACTTTTCACGTGTTATTCAAGGTGTTTGTCTGTCAAGGCCTGAAACAACAGAATCTGCAGAAATGATAAAACATCTCTGGGTTCATGAGGTAAATCACCTAATACTAAGAAATTATATTTATTATAAATAAGAAAAAGATGTGGATTTGTGTATTAATCTTTTTGTAATGCTATCTCCTATTGGCTAAGCGGTAAATTGGTATCACACTCATGAGAAGGGATTTTGTATACTGTATGGGCAGAGGAAATCAAACTTTTTCAAAGTATGAATCATATCTTTGTAGACAAGTTGATTGTTGATACCTTCACTTTCATGTGATTATGTAGTCTCTGTTTGCTGCTTTGAATGCCTGCGCAGTCCTTTCCGTTCTTCTCTCCTTCCTCCAAAAAACCCAAATCAACAGTGAGAAGAAGAGCAAGTAGTCCTGGGTCACTGGAAATTTTGAATGATTTTAAGTTTGGTCCCTACTTTTTTTTTTTTTTTACTTCTGGGCTTCCTTTAGAAGAAATTCTTAAGCTTATTGTCTTCAGCAAATGCTTCCTGTCTTTCAGTCATAATAGGATAGACACACTGAAAGAGCTCAAGTGAAACCTCCCTTTTAAAAACAAGAGGAAAAAGCCCCATATAGGTGATATCTGCTCTTTGGTTTTTTTCCTGGATTAAAAGAAAGCAAGGTCATTGATAATTGTGCTTTTTAAATATTTAGCTATGGTTCGTAGAATCAAATCAGCATAAAGTGACCATGGAAGACATCTTTGGTGATCATCTAGTCCATCGTCCTTCTCCAAAGCAGGATTACGTAAAGAAAGGAACAACAGTAACTTCTGAAGTGTTTTTTTCTAAAAATTTCTTACAGTTCTCGAAGGATGAGGGATGTTCCAACTTCAGGCAATCTATTCATGTTCTTCACTATCTTTTTCATTAAAAACATTTTCTAATATCCAGCTACAGTCTTCTTTCTTGAAATACAAACCCATAACTTGTCCTATCTAGCTGTAGTGGAAAGACCAATATGTTCCCTTCCTCTTTGCAGCAGCCTTTTATGCATTTATGTCATAACGCTTATAAATATATATATATGTGTATATGCATGTGTGTATATGTATTTCCGTATGAATTTTCTCTTTAATTCAGAAGCAATATTACTGGGCTCAACTGTTCAAATTAATTCTAAATATCTATTTTGGTTTTTTTCTATGTAGTGAAGTTTAAGTTAGTTCATATTTTGAAGCCTTTTTCAGAATTGTATTTGTTTTATCTTGTTTAAAAGAAGTATAAATTCAAGAGCAGAAGCAACTATTAAAATAATTACATTTTTATTATACAGGTTCTTAGAGTGTATTATGATCGCTTGGTGGATAATCCTGACCGGGCTTGGCTTGTTGGATTTATCCAAGAAGTAGTGAAAAATGACTTACATGAAGACTTTCATGAACTTTTCCAGAATCTGGACTTCGACAATGATGGCAGAGTAGAAGAAGATGACTTACGTAGCTTAATGTTTTGTGATTTTCATGACCCTAAGAGAGAGGACACTAAATACAGGGAGATTGGTGATGTGGATCAATTGAGATTAGTTGTAGAGAGTCATCTTGAAGAGTTTAATAACATGAGCAAAAAGCCAATGCAGCTTGTCTTGTTCCGATTTGCTGTAGAACATATTTGTAGAATTTCCCGTATTCTGAAACAGCCTCGCAGCCATGCCCTCCTTGTTGGTGTTGGAGGTAGTGGTCGACAATCTCTTACTCGATTAGCAGCCCATATGGCTGAATACAACCTTTTTCAGGTTGAAATAACTAAAAGTTATGGTATCAATGAGTGGCATAAAGACTTAAAAGTCATACTAAGAAAATCTACTGAAGGGGAAATGCAGGGAGTTTTCTTGTTCACAGATACACAGATTAAAAAGGAGTCATTCTTAGAAGACATTAACAACTTACTAAATGCAGGTGAAGTGCCAAACCTCTTTGCAGTAGATGAGAAGCAAGAAATTTGTGAACAAATGCGTCAAGTAGATCGCCAACGGGACAGGACAAAACAGACAGATGGCAGTCCTATAGCTCTTTTTAACATGTTTGTTGATCGCTGTCGAAATCAGCTTCATATAGTACTGGCAATGAGTCCCATTGGAGATGCTTTCCGTAAACGCCTTCGTAAATTTCCAGCTCTTGTCAACTGCTGCACACTAGACTGGTTTCAGGTAAAAACAAAATTTTTGTTGGGCTTGTTATTCTAATGGAAATGCAATAGAAACATGACTTCAACCCTTTTTGTAGCAAGTAATTCTCTTTGGTCAAGTTAGCAGTGAAAAATACCTTGAATTTTCTTAGTGTCGTGTTTTAAATTGTTTATCGCTCTGACTGTAATAAAGGCCAGTATAGGCTGAATGCAAAATCATCAAGAAAATAACTGACTGTGGTATAAAAGTATAATTGAATGAACATAGTACTGCAGACATTACAGATTTAAATATGTAGTATTTTCTTCTATTACCAGGACTACCAGAATCTAGATTGCCAAAAAAGTTTGAAACTGAAATACCTGTCAAAAATACAGACATCTTTTGATGCAGAACACCAGATTTTTCCCCACTACTCTGCAATAAAACTATATTCTATCTGACTGTTACATGCAAAAGACGTTAGACAGAATATTTAAGATGTAGAATTTAATCATATAAAGAATCTGAGGAACTTAAATTTCATCAAGTTTTAAAATGTGGTACTGTATCTTTAAAGGTTATTTTGAAGAGGAAGAGCAGAGACAGTCACACACATCTATGGACATACTGAAAAATGCAAAATTTTCCTTTCAGTAACAGTATTTCTAATGGATGAAATAAGACAGTGAGCTTGAACTGAATCCCTAAGTAGTTTGGTTCTTTCCAGTTCTGTTATTGTCCTGTTTGATGATCTTTTCGTCATGAAATCATTTCTCTGTGCCTCAGTCTCTTTATCTATGAAATGGGGTGAAGATACTTTTTTGAAAAATGTTTTGAGATTTATGAGTGTGAAGTACTGAATAAGAGAAAAATCTTTACTAATTTGTTTTAGACATGGCCTGAAGATGCATTAGAAGCTGTTGCCTCTCGCTTCTTGGAAGATGTTGAAATGTCGAAACAAACTCGAAGTGGGTGTATTGATATGTGTAAAAGCTTTCATACGTCTACCATTGTTTTATCTGACTTATACCATGCAGAGCTTCAAAGACACAACTATGTTACACCTACTTCATACTTGGAATTGATCTTCACTTTTAAAAGTCTACTTGAAAAGAAACGCACGTAAGGATTTATAACGTGACCTTTTCTAGAGGAACCCGAGTTCACCATATTATTTTCTATCTCATATAGCTAATCTGAACAAAACAAGTGAATTGTTTTTAGTTAATTTAAATTGACAGAATGGTAGGTGGATAAAATGTACTCTTAGGACACATGCTTGCTTATTGGACAAAAGGTCTGACTTGATGCTTTATACTTGCATTACACCACTTCTGATATTCCTGGTGATGTTGCTATATGTTGATTATGTATATTATGCTACCAGAGTAATTAATGCAGCCTGCTTACTCTGTGGCTCTCTGGAGGATGTAGGGAAGGTGACATCTGAGAAACCACCTTCCAAGTTGCTGGGTGCCATTGGCTTGCTAGCAGGGTTCAGCTGTGCTGTGCCTGGGCAGAAAGGACATCTGTATGCATGTGCATATCTGTTCTATTCTCATGGCTGGTGAGGGAAAGTTCCTTTTTCTTTCCTTCTCGTTGATAAGACACTACTATAACAATTAAGACAAGTGCTTAATTTGATAAACAGGCTGTGTGAAACACTGCATGCAGCAAGGAATTCCGGGAATAAAGGAATACAGTTTTGAATGTAGTGATCCAATGCCTTTGGAATTCCTTGATTCTGACACTGTTGGCTGTCCCCAGAGCCATTCACATTCTGCTGCTAAAATTATTATCCCAATTATATTAATCCTATTTCAACCTCACCTCAACTAATAATTTTCATAAGCGTATCCCCATCTTTTCCCTCTCCTTTTCTTGTCTGTTACTACTGTGCCATCTTGATTTTGTAGCTCCTGTCAACAAAGAGGCAGAAGATTAACAATCACTTATTTATCTATAAGTGATCACCTATTTATCTATATCCCACTCTCTGAGTATACATGATAGAATACTTAGACTATGGCCCAAGTAATCCCTGCTATGTTTACTATTTGTTGAGCAAATAAAACAAGATTGGCAGATCATTTGATTATTCAGAGTAGTGAGAAATTTGGGGAATGGATCCCAATGAATGAAGTGATCAAGAACTGATAAAATAATATCTTTATAATAAAGTACTATTTATTTTCAGTAAGGTGATGAAAAGGAAAAGAAGATATGAAGTTGGCTTGGAGAAACTGAACTCTGCTGCATCTCAAGTAGCCTTGATGCAGTCTGAGCTGGAGGCTCTGCAACCTCAGTTACGGGAAGCCAGCAAGCAGGTTGATGAGATGATGGTTGTTATTGAAAAAGAATCTTTGGAAGTAGCCAAAACTGAAAAAGTCGTGAAAGCTGATGAAGCAGTGGCAAATGAGCAGGCTATGGCTGCAAAAGCCATCAAAGATGAATGTGATGCTGACTTAGCACAAGCCATGCCTTGTTTAGAAAGTGCTCTGGCTGCCCTTGACACTCTCACTGCGCAGGTATGGCTAACAATGCATATTTACACACTGGAGAGGTATTCAGATGTACAAAAGCATGGAATATCTGCCTTTTCAGATTTTACATTATACTTACACAGTTTTATAACTTAGAAACTTCTTGAAATCTTTCAGTTTTAAAAAGCAAAATGTTACTCTCTCTTTATTTTCTAGTGAAAAAGCTGTAACGCTGAATTTTTATGGACTACAAGATCAAATATTATTCTAGACTTTTCAAAATTCATAGTTACAAAAATATTTTGACTCAACAATTGAGAAGTTAGAAAACATATGCTTTTTATTTTCTTATTCAGAACCTGCCAGCCGGTCATCTAATCTTTTTATATCCAGTTTTTCAGCATCTAGAAATTGAGACTGAAATTCTATGTTTCCCCATGTTAAGGGACCACTCTTTGTAAGAGTATGACAATGGAGGCAACCACCTTTGGTTTTATGGATATTGAGGTTTTCTTTGCCTGGATAGTGTTTTGCTCATGGTGGGATGAAAGGAAGTCTCTCAGATTGTAAGAGTGAGGACAGACTATATGCTCCAGCTATTGTTGCTGAAAACAAGATTTCAAAAAACTTTCAAGGAAACCTTCTTAGATAGAAAGCAGATGGTTTGTTATCTACAGCTGTTGCTTGGTATCAAAAGTTTTAGATTCTGGCATTGTCAGATCATTGACATGCTTTGTGAAAATAGTAGCTGGCTACGTCGTCACTTCAAGGCAATTGCATTATACTTGTGAATAACAAGACAAGAACGAGGCTTTGAAGGCTGGTGAAGTAATACTTCAACTACTGTCAATGCTTAGTGTATCCAAGCAGGGAGTATTATAATACAAGGGGGGGGGAGGGGGGGAAATAGAGTAGGAACTTCCAAAGGAAAAAAACCAGAGTGTTTTTTTCTCAAAATACAGTTAAATAGCATGATGAACACAAAAAAAATCTGTGTATAGGAGAGCTTAGAGTATCTGTACAGGACTTTTGGTTTTGATTCACCCTTCACCCTGGCCACCACTGATGGAAAGCAGAGCAGGACACATATTTATGTGCCCATAAATCTATGTACATAAATGTGCAGATTAAGTGCTTTGTTTGGAGAAACAGACCTATACATAATTCAGTACTGCTGAAATGATTATCTACAGTCAAAAGGAACTGTGTACCTCATGTGGCTCATTGTTCAGCAAAGATTAGAAAAAGTATAACAATTTAAAGCGTTATTTTGCTGTTGACATCTAAGTTTTGTAGCAATACACATATGAAGACACTGAAATTTAGAACTAGGAAGGGACCTCTGGAAGTCATCTTCTTCCACTTGTAATCTGTTCCACTTTACACATTTATCATTAAGAAGATTTTCCTGGTGTTTAACGTTAATCTTACTCATTACAACTTAACCTGTTTTCTGTTCTGCTCACTGTGGACATGGTTCTTTATCTTTTATGCAGTTAAAGACTGTACTGATTGATCTCACCACTTCCAGTTTTCTTTTCTGTAAGCTAAGTAATCACTATTCTTTTAGTCTTTTCTTATAAATCAAATCAGCTTTTCTGGTTATTCTTTCTGGACCTTCTCCATACGTTCATTTCACATGCATTGCCCAAAGTTGAATACAGTATTTCAGCTGTAGTTTTGCTAAATTCTGTGTAGAGTAGAGGAGGATTATTGACATGTGTAGTTTGTCATTCATGCGAACAGCTGTATCGTTTCCTGAAAATCACTATTACACAATCATTGCTTTCCCTTTCTTTTTTTTGTCTTTTTGTAGTAGTTCTACTATACTTTTCAATTTCTGCAACTTATTAAGATATTTTTTTCCTGTTCTCTACTCCAATGTATTTGCATTTACTCTCAACTTTCTATCAATTGGAAATCTAATAAACTCTCTCTTTTTTCCATCATTCATTTCAGTAATGAAAATATTGCATAGGTCTGGACCTGTGTGACCTCAGTCAAATCTTTGCTGTGTTTTGACAATGTTGTCAATTGTGCTAGTCACCTACTCACAGTTAACCCTTTAGAGACATCAGATGCAAAGAGCGTTAACATTTTGACTCTGTGTCATTTACTCGTATCTCACCCTTTTCACTAAGTACCTAGCCAGCACTTTTCTTGCTTTTCTTGCTATTACTGTAGTTACAGATTTTTTCTTGTTACACTTCATATTGCTTTTAATTGCAGCTGAGTTTGAGTTTAGCCTTTGAGTTTAGCCTGCTTACAACCCATGGTTGTGCTGAGTTAATTTGTATTTGTCCTTAATTTTGTTCCCTGGAATGGCTGGCTAACTTTGGTTGTTCTTCCTTCCCTGCAGATCCCATCACCCAGTTTTCTGACTGCCTCATTGAAATTCCCTGGCTTTATTCACCTGCTCTTGTTTCCTTCTCCTGAACACTTGTGTGGTTGCAATTTTTGGTTGGGTTTTTGTTTTGTTTTGTGTTTTTTTTTTTTAAAAAAGCATGTAGCTCCAGGAACCATAGGTCACAGTTTCAAGGAAATAATTATGGGGGTTTTTTTCATCCAGTCGTAACATTTCTCTGGTTTCTGTGGCACAAATGAACTTTCCCAGAACTCAAAAGATATCTCTTTCTATCCAAATTGCCAAGGTTTTAGACCTCAAAGAAACCATGGGCAAGCTCTCAAAATCTAACACTAATTGGGAAAATAAACATGAGAATCTAGAAATCCTTTAATTTATTGGAGTATGTATTCTCTGAGCAAAGCTCTTAGAAAGAATATTTGAATTACCATGGAGAGTTATTCTTTGGGAAGAGTAAGAGAGATTATTTTCCATAAATCTTTAGTTTACAAACCTCTTGCTTAATTAGTTGTACTTATATGTGTAGAAGTGTTTCATTCTTTTATATTATTATTCTATATTTGCAGTTAAAACTTTGCTTATTCATTTCCTGCTATTTCTTATAATGTCAGTACTTCTTACCCAATAGTTTTCTTCCTTTTAGTTGCCTCTTCCCTCCTTCAGCTCAGTCTGGGAGTTTAATAACTGACCAGAATACTAATTGATTTATTTTCTGTACTTGGAGAGCATAGATCTTTAGTTCTTGGTTGAAGGCCACTTTTACCTTATGTTGTTTTAAATCTACTAATCCACTGCTGATGTGATCCTGTAAGCTTGGAAGAATTGCATTAAGAGCCTGAACTGAAGGGTAGAGCATAACACTGGAACATCTGAACTCAGTAACTGAGGTGCAATGCCCACTACTGAATTAGGAACAGAAAAAGTACAACTAAAAATGAGTTACAGATAAGTTAAGTTTTTGTCTCCTCTGAACTGATTGTTGACTAGATTTCAGATATTTTTGTTTAGATGTCAGTGTTAGTTTAGCCTGTGTAATACCTTAAAGAAAGGACTAGAAAGAATGAAAAAAATGAAATAAGAATTTTGCAAAAAGAAAATTTTTTATATATATATGAATGGACTATGCAGGCTTGTGCTATGAACTTGAGATCATAGTGTATTTAAAATTATCAAGAGTGAGAATAGCAAATATATATGGAAAAATACTATCTTGACATAAAAAGGGTTATTATTTCTATTGTAATAGAAGAATTAATCCACCTGTGTTCAGAGCTCTAAAAGATGTTTTTTTAATTATTATTTTAAGGATATTACAGTGGTTAAGTCCATGAAGAGTCCTCCTGCTGGTGTCAAGCTTGTAATGGAAGCTATATGCATCCTTAAAGGCATCAAAGCAGATAGGATTCCAGATCCAACAGGTTCTGGAAAAAAAATTGAGGATTTCTGGGGTCCTGCTAAGAGACTTCTGGGTGACATAAGATTTCTTCAGTCTCTGCATGAATATGACAAGGATAACATTCCCCCAGCTTACATGGCTGTCATAAGAAAACAGTATCTTACAAATTCTGAGTTTGTACCAGACAAGATTCGAAATGCTTCCACGGCAGCAGAGGGTCTGTGCAAATGGGTCATAGCCATGGAGTTTTATGATACGTAAGTACGTATAAAAATAAATAAAAGGTTAAAATAAATTTGATTAAAGAGATCAATTTATTTTAACACCAAGAAAGATGCGAAATTACTTCTTTTTAATGTGAAACTTCTGCTAACAAGCAGTCATAGAGATTCATTCATGTAAGATACCTGATGTTAAGGTGTAGAGCCTGGTTTTCAGTTCTGAATTTTTCTAGGAAGGCATGGGAGCAACAATATGTTCAGTTAGCAAATAAAGTTAACTTCTTTTTAGAGTGTTGCACAAAATAGAGGCATTATCGAAATGTCTTTGGAAGTTTCTGACAGTCACATCAAAGCCGAAGGATATTTTTTGTTACACATTGTGTTTGATGTACTGAAAAAGTATGCTTATTTTTTAATAATATTTCCTCATTTGAAGCATCTGGAACTCACATTTAACAATAAATCAGCACTGGGTGGCTAAGGTCAACTTGCAGTTTGAAAGTTGAGTCATGGTGAGTAGTGCATGTCTTCATTTGAGCAGATATTTTGTTAGTTGACTGAAAGATTAGTAAATGCATACTTGGTAGAGTTCTCAATTTGAGAACAACTTTTAACATTGGAAATATCAATTGTTAGAGAGAAAATTAACTAAGAGGTGGACTTTAAAGGAGATCTGCAACTTACACCAGTAGGCGAGGGGATTCATTAATTATGAGGCTAATACTTGTGAAATACTGTTTCAGTTGAGCATAGGGGCATTCTAGCATATTTTCTTGCTTGTTTTTGGAAAGATAAACAATATGTTTTCAGTTATGTGTTACTTCCAATATTCTCCTCACAAAAATATCTGTGTAAAAGATTGAAATCCTCAAAACTGGAAAATAGATCCTTGGATGTGAAAAGCTGTTAATTATTTCTTTTATTTTGTGTACACAGTTGGCTGCATGTGTGTGCACAGTGTCTGTGAGTGTTACTTAATATATAAGATTATCTGTGTGTTTCTAATGGTACAAATCCATAATGGATTCTAAATTGTGATCAAATGGGACACACAGTTTGGAATCATAACCCTTTTTGCTTTAAATTGTTACCTGTTATTACAGAAAAATATGCAGAAACTGCATAAATCAGTCAGTATCAGTACAGAAACAAGTCATGAAGTAAAAACCGATTGTCTTTAGATATTATCAAATTATAAAACAGAATATTGCATGAGTTGCTGAGGTTTCCCTTCATCTTTCCTGTGTTCATTTTTTTAAATAGTAGCCTTAGAGTGAGGGTGTATCTTTCAGATGTTTAATTTATTCTTTGACTTTATTTAGAGTGACAAAAAATGTTGCACCCAAAAAGCTAAAGTTGAATCAAGCTGAAGGAAAATTAAAGATTGCTATGGATGGTCTAAGAAAGAAACAAGCAGACCTGAGGGAGGTTCAAGATAAATTGGCTGTACTCCAACAGACACTAGAATCCAAGAAACAGGAGAAGGCTGACTTAGAAAAACAGGTATATGATGCAAAAGATGAAGTATTGTTCTACTGATATCTAGAAAAGTTATTTAAAATTTGTTTCTTTGTCAAATGGTATTTTTCCTTTTGACTGCTAATATGTCGAACAAGTTGTACTTTTAGATAACCATCTTTTTATTCTGGTGTAATGGTCTTGAAGTTATAAGTGGGCAAAGCATGGGGAATAAATGCTTTAAAGTAATAGAAAATGTAGATGTTATGAATTTAAAAACTGATATCCCTTTCCTACATCCTCACTCATATCTGCTTTCTTATGAGAAGATAAATTTTCAATGACTGTAGTAAGAGTTGGATTCATCCATTAACTTGCAAGTCAGTACATTTAAAGTTTTGAAAGTTTATTTATGCCTTCTGTGCTAATACAATTTTGAGAATGTTTTTGGTAAACTCTGTTCCTGACTGCTAAATAGCTGTTATGTGTGGAGCAATAGGCAACATTTAGAAGACTGCATTATTTTTTTTTTTTTAAGGTTTGCAGTACATCATCTTGAGCTTTTTTTACAAAAATAGTATCGGAATTTGAAATGGAGTCTTAATTCCTGTCTGTAGTTAAACTCAGCTTTTTGTGTGTTTCTTCTGCATCCTGATACGGTTTGGAAGTAGAAGGGAGGGATAAACTAAACAAGCAGTTTGTTACTGTGGTGTAAATTGGCTGCTATGGTTACCAGAGGGGAGAGAGGGTTGTAACAGAAGGAAGAGTTGGCATAATTTTCCTCCTATCCCGTGGCTGAAATGTGTCTCTACTAGATAGTAAAGAATTCTAACAGAGCTGGATTAAATTCCTGTTAAATCATATTTTTTTGTTAGATAATAAGCATGCCTGGAAAGATGGATTAGTTAAAAACTGACAACAGAAATGCAGACTATGTATTCATAAGGATTTTTTTTTGCAGAAAAGAATGTACCTACTTTTATGAGACAGTGATCTCTTTAAGGTCTTTTTGTATCTCTTATGACATGTAGATAATTTCCTTGACTATTAATATTTTCCATATTGCATGCAGAGCTATTTTGAATTGCATGTTTTATACTGGTCTTCTTCCTTTATTTGGATGAAAATGTAACTGAATAGACTTTACTGTGCTGGTACTGAGATTGTTTTTGTTCTTCAAACATTTCCATTATAATAAGAAGGTGTTTTCTTTCTATTTGATGAAATTACTTAAGAAAACATCTGCACTGGAAAATAATTCTTGAATGCTTTTAATATTTGTAAAATGCTTTTAAAGTGATCATGTAATATAATCAGCAATTTTTTTTTATTCTGAGGTTGACTTATGCAGCAAAAAACTACAGCGAGCAGAACAATTGATTGGTGGCCTTGGGGGTGAGAAAACTCGCTGGCATGAGACTGCTTTGGAGCTGGGAAGGCAGTACATCAATTTGACTGGAGATATACTTATTTCATCAGGAATTGTAGCTTACCTAGGAGCCTTTACATCCAGCTACAGACAAGTAATATGTACAGTGATTTTGTCCCCGTGTTTTGTAATAATATAAATTTTATTAATTTTTCTTGTAATATAAAGTTTATATTTGTAAATTATGTTTTAATATAATTCATAAGTGGAACTGAAACTGTATTGTAGGATTTTGAGTTTTATTTGTAAGACTCTTGGGGGAAATTCTTCCTTCATTCTACTGTAAAGTACTTATTGCTGTGTGAAGCATGGAGTCATTTGGTTACTTTTCTTCTCTAAAGCAATTGCCAGTAACTTTATACCTCATGGCTCTGGTTACTCCTATTCCATACAATGGCTAAATTCTCCTTAACTTCTTGAAAGTGGAGTAATTCTGTACAAAAAAAGACAAAAGATACAGTAGCTCAATAACATAGTAGATTTGTGTCTGTAATAAACAGAAATTCTGAATATAAAAAGATTTTGACGTGGCAGCTGATTTTAGATATAACAATTTTTGGATGTCAAAATTATCCTGAGTTTGAAAGTTTTTGAACACTAAAACCTGCCACTGAATTCAGCTGAAGAAATTAATGTCCATCTCTTTTGAAAATCACGTCCAGGCTATCAAAAATTGCTAAAAATTAAGAGAGAAAAAAAATCAATGTACCTCATTTGAACATATAATCCTTATTTCCACTTTTCCTTCAATGTACTTCCTTTGTCCATTTTTCTTTAGAAAATTTTGTACTGTTCTTTCAAACTATTGTTTTCTTCATAATGTCCATGTTGTGGTGTTACTATTTTAAAACTTTATAGAGTGAGAGTTTATGATGTGAGTATTTGTAGTGTAAATAAATAGTCAGCAGTTTTTACAATTCCAAATTACATACTTTTGAGAGAATGTTCTCTTTTATGCTTAAAACCTGCATTGTGTGTAATATTGAGTCTGGGTAGGTAGGAGTACTTTTGGTGAAACATCTTAAGGGGTGCTGAACTGTATTCCAGGCAAGTGTAGATAGAGGTGCAGATGATACTCATAAAAGGCAGAGACACCTACATCATTATTCACTAAAAACGAATACATAGTGGTTTAATCTGAAAAGTTTAGTGTAATTTCAAACTTTCTGACTGCATAGTTTCTTTCTCTGTGCAACAGTAGGTATGGATTCCTGGTGGCTTATTCTTGTGCAGACACATATTAGCTAGGTATCTCTTTCAGAAGTTGTTGGATAGCATAATTACTTTTGTGCAGTTCTTCATTTCATCTGCTGTTATGTTGGGGTTTTTTTCCCCTGCAGTTTTCATAAAAGAAAAAGTTATGATATCTTTTGGAATATCAACTTTGTTTTATGCAAATTGATGAATCCTTTATTCACCACCTCTGTTATTGTCTCTAGCAGTTAGAGCATTTCCTTTAATACTGCATTTCTGAGTTTTGTTGCTTGAGGCTTTGCCAGCTAATTTTTAGTTTAGAATACTACAGCATACTATCTGACCTCATACATAGCTTTCATACAATATTGTGCCTTTCATATGAACATACTATTTCTATATATTCTCCTTCTTTAGAAGCATTCTTCCTAGTGGAATACGCTTTTTGGTTTACATGTTTAAAGGTGTGTGTCTTCATTATTATTACGCACTACACAAACAGGTATAGTTTATACAACTGTAGTGAGCTAGATGATACAGAGAATAGTGAAAAGCAACTGTAAATGATTTTTAAGTTGTTGAGCTTGGTTAAGTCCTGACAAGTGGTCATTATGTGTGTCCCGAGAGTTAAATAATGAAGATTTTTTTTTTTTTTTTTTTTTTTTTTTTTTAGCTAGAATATGTGCGTTTGTTCTACACTCATTTTATAGTATAGAGGACTACTGCTGAAATGGTAAATAAAATCATACCAAGGCTCTGACCAAATAAACTTATATTTCATATATAGAAATCACATACAAAGGCAATTTTAGAGACATTTTTAGACATTTTATGTAGAAGCATGAGTTTCTTTCCATTTGAAGATACAGTGTTATTGTATGTAGCAACTGTTACGGGAAATGGGTTGAAAAATACATTTTTTTTAATAGTTTGAAAATTTTGTGATTAGACAGAACTTTAGTTAATACTTGTTTTCTTCTTATCTAGATGCAAACTAAAGAGTGGGCATTGCTATGTAAAACAAAAGACATTCCTTGTTCTGATGATTTTTCCTTAACAAATACCCTGGGAGAACCAGTGGAAATCAGAGCTTGGAATATTGCTGGACTACCTTCTGACATGTTTTCTATTGATAATGGCATCATTATCTGTATTTGTCCCTTGTTGCTTAAGGTAGTTCTAAAAAAAAAAAAAAAAAAAAAAAAATTTACAATGTATAATTTTCATTAAATAGCTTCTTTCAACATGCTCCTCAGTTGTTATTTTTATAGACAGTTTTCTACTGTATATCCAGTTTAACAACCAGAGTTATAAAATGACTGTCATGTTTAAATTTATAAGAAATACTAATAATACTTTTTAACTTTATAATGTAAAGTTTTTAAATCTGTGAATTCACTCCCCTCCTTTTTAACTCCTATGGATTGCTATAATGATACCTTCCCCTCCCCCCCCCCCCCCCCCTTTTTTTTTTTTACAAACATGCTGCACACTGGATTCAGTTTAAGACATCCTAAAATGCTTCCAGAATAGAATTTTGAATACTGTTCTTGTAGTAGTATAATCAGTAGATATGGAAGTAATTATGCTTTAAAAAGCTAAAGCTCATTAATTTAAAAAAAATATGCTGGCATCAGGTGCTACCAAGAGGTGTTTCTGCAGAGCTACTGAAGATTATTTTGCTCATCTTTCTATGAGGGTCACACACTTTTTCCCTAAGATGGCACTGGAAATACTATAGATAACGTCTTGATTACTTGTCTATAAACAGTTTCCCAGTTTATGTTGCCAATTGATAGAAGATTTTAACATCCAGGCTTGTAACATATTTAGTGTGTAAAGCCCTGACATTTTGGAAGTGTTGGTTTGTACACTGATGAGCTGAATTTTTATTTTGCTAGGGCACAGTAACAAAACAACAAAAAAAGGCCCATGTATATGGGCCTAACTTATTAAAGTTAGAGGATATATGCTGGGATTATGATTGTATATGTAACTTTTTTTTAAGTAATTACTGTATTAATAATTCAATCACTCAGGCTAAACAGTTGACAAATGTTAATGAATTCAACACTTCTACAGCACATCCTAACACTTCACTTTTATAAAGCTTTGATCAAAATTCTTTTTGAACTAATGGAAAGATGATTAGCATTTTAAAACTAAATAATGATAGCTTTTAATTTTGAAATATGAGATAGAATCTACCTCAAATTGATGATACATATTATGCCTGTAGTTATGAGTTTATGGCTAGATGAATTTTATATTAGGACCCCAGGAACTATATAAAATGCAATTCAAGCTTTTTATAATAACAAATTTTTTAAAAAGCAGAAGTAGAGAGCTATTCAAGGATAATTTGCAAACATACACAGTGACTGCTTATGCATTTCCATCAATGAAGAAGGATTTTATCGTTGATGAAAGCTGTCTGTGTTTGGCTGTTATTAGAGAACCACTCTTTAGTTTTTCAGTCTTAAGTATTTCATGTCTTACACAGCAAGTCTGAAATGGGATATGTTGAAAATAATATGTGAATGAAACTTTGAAGTAATTAGGGAAAGAAATACATACTGTAGGTTTTGGCTGAGGTTTTCTCAAATTTAAATAGCTGTTTTAAAATAAGAACAAGCAAAATTATTATGAGCAAATTACATAAATATTGTCTGTTTTAGAATGTGCTTAACATATAAGTTTACTGTGTTCAGTTTACAGTTTGCAATTGCTGTATCACCTTGTATCATCTTACTCTTAAAATCACCTGGGTCTCCCTTGCGGTTCTCATAAGTAACTGAACCACCTAGCAATTAGGGAGCTCAGCAATTCTTTCAGTACACTGTGGATCTATTGGTGAACACTGTTACCTACTGTGAGATTGTTTTCTAATACTGCTGATGCTACTGCCTCGTCTGACAACTATTCAGATTTCAAAACCTCTGTTTGCTTCTCTAGACTTACTGTGTTACCAAATTTGTCCTTATCTGTTTTTATCAAATTATTCAAAATACTTGTAACTTTACAAAGCCCACATTTTAACTTTCTTAATGTCTGCTTAGATATCACACTGTCCTGGTGGATTACAAATGCATTTCCTGAATCTCTCAATGCATTTTACCTGTGAAAGCTTTCTTCCTTCATGGGTAGGCTGGATAGGGTCCCTTCCAGGTGACCTGTTTTCCTAAATCATTCTACAAGGGGGAAGAAAGCCGTCCTCCTTCAGCTGGTCACTCCAAGTCCGATTTGTGATCTATAACACAGAAGGAACCTCTGTAGAATCCCATGTATAATCTCAGGCTACTGCCACACATGGTACATTTCTCTTCCAAAACTTTTGCTCCTAAACTTCTGTTATCTTGCTTCCACAATCTCCATTTTCAGTCCAAAGAACCTAAGGTGCTTGTGCTCCCTACGTCCATATATATTCCTTCTTCTAAAGGATTGCATTTATTTGGACACATTTTACTGTGCAGAGATTCTGCAAGCTGGATCAGTCGTGATTTCTGAGTACAGACTTATTTTTTCACTAATACATATACATGATAGTTAGAACTAACACTACAAAGCTAAACAGCAGTTTGCTCATAACTGCATCAAAACCACTTTATAAGTTTGTGCTAGCCAGAAGGCTAGCACTGAGGTGGGGAAATGTTGGCCTCCGTTGCATCTTGGAAAGGACTGGTTCTTGATCTTGCAGAGCTGCCAGATCTGACATCAGTTGCCAAAAAAATAAAAACCAGTCTCTGCTTTTTTCTTCTTTCCAAAGTTCCATAACTTCCTGTGAGTACTATTCCCAAGAAACCAACTTCCCTTTCAGCTTTGTTTTCACTTTTAATATCTTACATAGTTTTGCTTATCTAGTCTCTCACAGCTTAAAAAAAAATTTTTTTTCAGTAATGA